CATTGCGCGTCACAACATAGCAATACCGCGGGCCGTTCGTATAATAAATGCAGTTCTATTCAAAATATTTGTCTCGGGCTTCACAGGATTTGATCACGTGACCAACCAAGTTCATTTCCCAGAGAACTTTTTAACATTTTTGTTTATTTCTTATATAACTTTATACAGTTCTTTTCAAGAGCACAATAATCTTACCAACATCTCCTTATTTCAGAGACGAATAATTTCAATCTTTGTGATATTGTTGCGATTTGTGGAGATTTTACATAAAGTATTGGTTAATGTTAAATTAGATATCAAAAAAAAATTGTCTTAATTGAGATTTGATGTTTCACTTTCAAGTTTGTAGCAAAATAGATATTTTGCTTGACGAACCATTGGAATTGCGCTGGGAACTTATTGTGCTATTTTATCAGCCGACGTGTTTTTATATTCCAATGAAATTGAAAAACTTCAACATGAGAAGAAGAAAACACTTGCTGTGGCCTTAGACTCGACATTCGGATATATTGATGACGTTTAACCAATTAACGCTAATTACTTTCATTCATATGTCGATTCGATGTATCCCAGAGAACGTAGGTATGTTAAGGCATTGATATATCAGAAAAGCCACGGATAAAGCATTTACAATTTCCTTCAATTGTATAGAGGTCAAAGAGTCTTAGGATATTAGAAGCACTCAACTACGACGTCATCACGTGACGTCTATAAATAGAAAGATATGCCCTTAACGATAAGTGAAAAGTTTAACACTTACCCGGGGATAATTAATTTCTGTTTGTAAAAATAATTATGTTAAATCATCTCTGGGTGATGAAAAGTGCTGCTAGAATCCTACTTTCTTGTCATAGAAATAAAATATTACACTCTCTTTCGCATGAAACCTTATCAAAATTTTTACAATTTGTAAATAAGATCAAAGAATTTCCTTCCATCCCTGTTAACTACATGATTCTAGCAGCACTTTCGTCTTGTTTCATTTGACTCGGCGAATATTTGATCAAAAGCTATGACGTCCTGAGTTACAAAGGCAAGTTAGAATATGTGGGTGCAGCCTTTACATACCTGCGAGCTTGAAATAAAAGACATCACAGAGTCTGCATATCTATTTCATATTTGGATGTTTTACTTACTATAAAATCGGTAAGGGAAACTAACAATTGAGTTGTATGACACACGAGAAAACTTCAGATTTTTCATCATCAACTTTCCTAATTCATGAAGTAAAGCTATCACCTACACCTGATGTTTATGTATAATCAAGAACATGCTCTGAGTACGAACAGATTTTAAGTCGAAGCAAGCTCCTGACAGATAAGTTGATGTTACAGCGACTTCAACATTTTCGTTTCAAGTCAGCATTTCGTAAATTCTATGATCGTTATTATGACCATGTTAACAAATACTAGTATAACCTATTATTGGGTCGTATTAATTTTGGCTAATGAGTTTCAACCGAATGTTAGACCTTTCTTTTTAAACTAAATTTGACTACGGAATGTTACCTGGGTTTGTTCCCGTTTTGCACACTTTTGAATTTCAGGTATTGAAAAAAAAATGTGCGCAAAACGGGAATTTTTCTGGGTAAAATAATTACTTAATTGCTAAAATCTGTATCATAGTTGTGAATTTGGAGAAAGAGAATCTACGGAAAGAATAGGAAGAAAAAATGATTAATTTTGCATTTGATATTTTGATTTGTTTCTACAATTTCATGATTAAAAAAACCCTATATTTTCAAACAAAAATATTATAAATACTAATCAAAACTATAATCACATTCATATGATACTAACTGGACAAGTGATTTTTTTTTTATTAATCAAGATTGAATTTATTAACTCATTCATTTTATCTTTAGGAAATTAAAAACAACAGGGTGAACTGCGATAAAGATATTTCTAAATTCATCTTCAGATGGGATCGACTAATTAATTTTTCAAAATATATTCTTTTAAATATATATTATAATGCATTGGTAAAATAAAGGTAATTCCAGGTAAATCCCAGATGGAAATCAGACTATAATTGTTATCAAAACATATTTCACACCTATTGTTCTATACCTAATTATCAAATGTGTGCAAAACGGCAACGTACGCAGCGTACCGTGTATCTGATCAGTAGGCTCATGGCGGGCATGACCGGTCAACAGGGGATGCTTACTCCTCCTAGGCACCTGATCCCACTTCTGGAATTTCCGGGGTCCGTGTTTTATGCCCAGATTCACAGATTTGTATTGTTTGAAGATTTTTTGAGATCGATCTCTATTCGTTATCTTCACTTTTTTATTCTTATGTAGTTATTTTCTTCTTTTGAAGGGGTTGGTTTCTTAATTTCATGAACAAAATTATATATAAAGTAAAATGTTCATTAATGATTACATTTCCACATAAAATTATAACTAGACTTTAAGAATCTGCAGTAGTGCATTTTATCCTCCCTTACAAAAAAAATACTACAGCAAACTCCAGTTAACTATAGTTAAGTATAGTGATAACTTTGACACTATGAAAACTAGAGTGAACTATATTGATAACTTCGACACTTTGATTAGCGATAGTGATAACTTTGAAAACTTTGATTTACTATAGTGATCACTATAACACAACAGTGATAACTATGATAACTTTGAAATACCATAGTGATCACTACGAAAACTTTGATTTCCTATGGTGATAACATTGAAAACTTTGATTTACTATAGTGATAACTTTGAAAATTTTGATTTACTATGGGGATAACTTTGAAAACTTTGATTTAATTTAGTGATAACTACTATGACACTATAGTGATCACTTTGAAAACTTTGATTTACTATACTGATAACTTTGAAACTATAGTTAGTTATAGTGTTTACTTTAGTGTTTTTTTTTTGTTAGGGCTATTACAATCAAATAGGAATTCGCTTCTATTGAAAACTACAATGCAGAAAGAGGAATAACTCTCTATATGGATATCTCGATTTACGGAGACACTGCAATATCGATCACCTTTATATAGATAACAACTAGGAAGAATAAACAAGAAATCAATAGTGGAACCCGAAACTAGATAATACCAGGGGGATAAAATGAAGTATATGGAGAGGAATTAGTTCAGATGATATCAAGGTATTAAATCAATTACTCTAAAAAAAGTCATGAAACCAGACATTCTTTTGTTAACTTTCAATATTATTTTAGTAAAATGCATAAAAATAATGGGCATTGCTTAAATTATGTTAGTTGAGCAATCTGCTGTCTACAAATGTGCTTATAAATATATTTTGCATTGCCCTCAAGTATGTTTAACAGGATCGTAGGAAGCAATTTCATTGGGGGGGGGGGGGGGGCACAACCGAAAGGAGAAGCAGAAGGGAGACCCCAGGTTCCAACAGGCTTGTTGGAAATCATGTGTGGATTTACTGATCTTTACCATATTCAATGGACATTTTCAAAATAGTATTCACCCACAGTGTTGATATACTTTTACCGATTAAAACTATCAAGGATCGCAATGGGGACTAATTGTGCTCTTTTATTAGCCAACCTGCTTTTATATTCACATCAAGCAGAATTTACTCAAAAACTTCTACATGAGAAGAAGAAAACACTTGTGGCCTTCAACTCGACATTCAGATATATCGAAGACGTTTTATCAATTATCAATGATTACTTCCATTGATATGTCGACTCGATATATCCAAGTGAATTCGAAATAGAAGACACCCAGTATATACCATTGTTTTATTCTAAATGTGACTACGGAATGTTCCGCCAATCTAATCAATGCATAGGCTTAAAGCGGGCGTGACCTGTCGACGGGGAAGCTTACATACATAGGCACCTGATCCTAACTCTGGAATATCTAGGTTTCCGTGTTTAAGCCTTCAGTAAAGATTTGTATTGTTTGTAGTTTTTTTTAGATCGATCACTGTCTGTAATCTTCACCTTTTTCATTCATCACGTATATCAACACAGTTAATTACATGTTTTACAGTTCTCTATTGAATTATTTTATTTCAAACTATAATTATATCTTATTTGATAAAAGGGTTAGCGTTATTTTTTTTCTTTTCAATTGAAGTACAATTATATTTATTTGAGAAAAAGCTAAGAATCAAGCATTACACATCTATGGACACCCACACCGAACTTAGTCCAAATTCTTGGGAAAGTATTTTACTGCAATCCCTTTTACTTGAAAAATGGATGTTATCAGCTTTTAAAACATTAATTCTAAAATCCAAAATTACGGGGTATTGTAATTATTTGATTTCTTTTGAAAGTAAATGATCCATTCCCGGGCATCAATCACACTTTATTTGTTTTTGCTGATATGCTGATGAGAACAATATCAGGCCAACTAAAATATTTCGTTTCAGAAATTGTTATTATATGCATGAAAACTTGCAAATTAACTTTAAATATTTTTTTTCAAAACCCTGCATGTGACTTTGTACACATGTTTAAAAAAGTCAAAGCTGAATAAGTAATGCTCATCAAATACGTTTTATTGTAGATACTGATATAAAAAGATATGTTATTCAAAAATAATAATAATACTAGTATTCACATTCAAAATCCTGGAATGTGAATGATTTATATTACTCTTTTTTCATAACCAAGACAATGACTACTCTGATCTTTAAATGTCATGTCCGACATTCCCTCTTTGGTGCAGATTCAATATTCATTTTGAAATATATAAAAATATATAAAGAGATATACAAAAAAGTAAATTATTTCGTTAGGCTAGTGGGTCTGTCCGTAGGGAAATGTTTAAAACTTAATCTCAGAATTATTACATTTACATATCATTGTATAATGCGATGTATGACGACTTGATGACTTGTGTTACCTATATTTTGACTAATAGTTCAAGAATTTCTACAAAATAGTATGTATTGGAAACAACATGCATTATAACAATTTCTTGCTTGAATACTGTTCATTATCTCCATATTTCATTGCATAAAAGATTGACAGATTCTATTTTGACAAACAGGTAACAAAATGGCTACCCCCATTTCCTGGGCCCAGGAGATCATTACTTGTGACCTTTGTGACAACTCCACCCAGCAGTTTTGTAACAGATGTCAAGTCAGTTTATGTGGGGACTGTGTCAGTAAACATGTTGACAAACACCTGTCTCTCGAACATCACATCGTTCCTTTCAAGAATAGAAAGATACAGCCGGTATTTCCTGAGTGTGAATTCCATCCCAATCAGAGATGTGAGGCCTATTGCCATAAGTGTGATGTTCCAGTGTGCATAAAATGTGTCATCACCTCTCATAATGGACATAGCGTGAGAGACATGCCAAATATCTTCAATGACAAGAAAAAGGAAATCCAACAGGAAACTCAGGAAATTGAAACCAGTGTTATTCCTAATTATAAGAAGAAAAACGAAGAGAGAGAAAGTGATATAACTTTAAGTATGGAAAAATATATTGAGCTTGAAAAAGAAACAGAGAAACATAGAACAATTTGGCATCAAGAAGTAGACAGCATCTTCAATAAACTCAGATCTTTGATCATATCCATGAGAGATAACCACCTGGCAGTACTGAAATCACACCAATCCAAACTCAGGAACATGATTCCGGAAATCCTCCAAACACTTCAACAAAACAAAGAGATAATGAAGTCTAACAAAGTCTCTGAAGTCACTAACCACAAATCAAAGCTAACAGAATACAAGAACAATCTCTCAGATACTGATGTTTTAATACCATCATTGAAAAGCAAAACAGTCCAAGGGAGAGAATTCAGTATAGAGCTAGGAGAATGCAAGGCTACTCTAACACAGTTATCGCTATCCAGTCTGAAAGAAAAAGTATCATATTTTTCAACTAGAGAGTTATTAGACAGAGCCAGAGTGATTGCCACAATTCCGACTCGAGTCAAACCTCTTCACAGAGTAGCGTCCGTCGGAACAGATAAAGCCTGGGTTAGTGGTTTAGATAGAATCATAAAATGTTTTGACATATATGGATCTGTACATGAAAATGTTGTCCTCTCACAGCAAATCCATCCAAATGATATATCAGTAACTATACAGGGAGAATTGGTATACAGTAATTCCGAAAATAGAACAGTTAACATTGTCAGGCACGGGAGGACAGAGATATTGATCAAAACACCACAAGAATGGACTCCAGAAGGACTGAACTGTACTAATTCAGGGAAAATACTTGTCACTCTGTATAATGGACAACAAAGAAAGATTTCCTGCTATCAGGAACAAATTGTTAAGCAGGAAATATTTAGCGACGAAAATGGAAAAGCAATTTTTGCAAATGGAAAATTGATGCCTTTCGTTGCAGAAAACAACAATGGAGATATTTGCGTTTCTGATATCAATGCTAAGACCGTTGTGGTAGTGGACAATACAGGAAAAGTTAGATTCCGATACAATGGTAGACCAGCCAGAAGAAAAAAAGGATTTGCTCCTAGAAAAATTGTGACAGACTCCATGAGTCAGATCATTGTGGCAGATTACAGCAATGAATGTCTACACATTCTTGACCAGGACGGACAGTTTTTGAACTGTGTGGATAGGTGCGGAATACCTAAGCCCTGTGGACTGAGTGTTGATAGAGAGGGGAGGCTGTGGGTGGGACTATTAGAAAAAGGAGAATTGAAGGTGATCCAGTACATGAGATAGACATATGATGTGAAATACCTCTGATGATGACTGTGTACAGCTTGTGTTCTTGATGTGTACATTTTATTTCTTGTATCTATTTTTATAAAAACATTTTACTTATTTTTTCAGAATCATTCTGAAAACATGTTTTCGATTAAAAATGTCCTTTGTCGACTTTACAATTTATGGTATACAGTGTTGAAAAAAAATCTATTTGAATAACATGCAGTCATGTATATAAAATCAACTATTCAAAAAATGCAGACCTCTCCTATCCCTGTCTCTCTCTGCAACGGACTATCAAAACGTAAAAGACCTAAAAACATCTATGAAAAGCAAAAATGATATTTAGAAATTAAATCTTTATATTGAATACAACAAGATAAGATACAGATAAAGGCAAAACTATCCACTATTACATAGACTATTGTCTGGAAAAAGATATTGAGCTTGAGGAAACAGATAAACAGAGAAGAATTTGGCATCAAGAAGTTGGCATCATCTTCATTATACTTGCTCAGCAACGGAAAACATACTAATCCCAGCCCAGAAACGTAATTCCAGAGTAATCTAAATACATTCTCAATACAATCAGTCCAAGGAAATGACACCAAAATAACATCTTTAGCAGGAATAGGTAGTGAAGCAGGATATACATCGTATTTTCAGAACTAAAAAGCAACCTATAATAACGGTGATTTTTTGCTGTTATGAAAATAAACAAAAACGAAGATATTTGCGTATATGATGTCAAAGCTAAGGCCGTGGTTCTTTTGGATATGACAGGAAGAGTACGATTCTCATACGATGACACAAAAGCTAAAAGAAAAGGAAAGAGGCATTATTCCATGAATCATATCATTGGGAGAATTTTCAGCATTAAATTTTACATATTCTAAATAAGATAAGAATGGATAATGTCATAAATGTTTGGAGGATGTGATGTATGCCTTGTGGACCGTGATTGAAAGTTGTGGTTAGATTTCAGATTTCATTACAACAGAAGAACCAATTCATGAAATAGACATTTAAAATGTATTGAAAGATCAATTATATTCGACGATTCAAATTTTCTATAACTTTTTTTCTTGCTTTCTGAGATTTGATTTCGTGGTTGGCGGACAATATAATGTAGTCTGAAATTTTAACATTTTAAGGACATAAATTGTGGATGTCTTATATCACAAAGACCAACAATATTCAAACCTTCATGAAAATACATGTGTTTTCATCGTACAAAATTCAGATGAATTGTCTTGTTCAAAATCTTTTATGTTTACTGAGAATGTCATTGTATATCATAACTTTGCAAACTGATAAGTAAATCATATACCTATTTGTTAAATTTTATGTTATCATTTTGCGAAACGTTTCTGAAAAGTTGTTTTTTCACAGAAAATGTTCAAATAGTAATTGTTTAAGTCACTCTGAACATTGTAGGAATCACTTTTGCATCGTTGAGACATATGCAGTTTGGAATATCTCTTAAAAATACTTAGTACTACAGTAAACTATAATTAACTGTAGTTAACTATACTTTACTATAATATCAAATTTTTAATTAAAATTCATCAAAGTGTTTTACTACATTTAAGCAAATTATATTTACTATGAATTTCAAATTGTTAAATTTTTTTTTTGAAGTCTAACATGCAACTTTATGCTACGAAAAGGAAATATCACTTATATATTCATATATCATTTCTAAATTTACGTCAGTATTGTGTAATTAGAAATCTTAAAATACTAAAAGTTATAAGGTCTCATAGTAACTCAAAGTATCAAAGTATTTATTATAGTTACTTGCAGTAAATTTTTGCTTGAGATTGCTCAAGGGAAAATAACTTTGCTATATTTGCCCTGCCTAAAATACAGTCAAACCGTTATTAAGGGACCTTCCAAATGAAAAAGGTCATATACGACAGGTGGTTTCTTAATACAGGATTTCCCGCAGTCTTCAATTATACAATGCTGAAAATATTATACATGCGTGTGGAATTTATACTATATCATGTATTGTATATTTCCGCTTTTCAATAAGTACTGTTCAATTGTAAATGATTGTATATTATGGTGTACAATCGTCATGTTCGGTAATAAAATTTACGCTTGATCCGTCCATGAGTCATTTTGATTACTAGAAAATATTGAACATCTGAAAAAATGCAGTTTTTTTTTAACATAACCCGACGGTGACACAATCCACTTAAATAAATACTTAGGATTTAGTTACTTGTAAATTAAAGTTAAACAGGAAAAAATACAAATTTTATAGTACGAAATGATACCTATTACTCTACGGGGTTTATATCTTTCAGATGAATCGATACACCAGAGCATGCTTTACGTATGAACAATATCTAAAACGAGGTAAGTTGTTGACAAACAAGTTGATGAAACAAGAGTTTCAGCAGTCTCGTTTAAAGTCATTTCGTAAGTTCTATGGTCGATACAATGACCTTGTCAGCAATACAACCTTTCATTAAGTCAAATGCTGACTGACTTTTTTCATACTACATGTAATTGTTAAGTCATTATTTACACACTGAATTGTCGACGGATTTTTTCGTTATTTCCTGATCATGACAAGGATCGAGCACACGGCGGGTGTGACCGGTCGGCAGGGGATGCTCACTCCTTCATGGCACCTGATCCCACCTCAGATGTCTTGAAGGTCCGTGTTTGCTCTGCTCCTATTTTGTAATGTTAAATGGACTTTTGAGTTCGAATGCTATTCGTTATTCCACATATTTCATATAAACACGTGTCTGTAGATGATTGAACCAAAAAATGTAGCATGCTCGACCGAAATCGAAAGTAGGAACCGGAAATTATATAGTCATTAAATCAAGGTAAAACTGCCTGAAATCACTAAAAATAGTTGCGGAAATCAGGATCACTGGTCACGTCAGACAGGTAGTGGTTTAATACAGGTAAAATATATAGTGAAAAGCAAAGGGAGGGGTTTTTAAGGTCACATATGGGAGTGAGTCGCTTAATACAGTGGGTTGCTATGTCAGTTTTGACTGTATATGCTTTAAATCATTATATGCACAATTATGGTGGTAAAAATTATACCCCACCTCTGATGCTGATTTTTTTAATGAAATCCTGGCGTACAATTGGTTAAAGTCACGTGTAGGGAGTGTATTGCTTATACGCTGTCACTTGAAAATCAGTACAAGGACAATATGGAGTTATCGGTTTTTTTAGTAACACGTAGAATAACTCAATTTCTTTAATCTTTTTAATTGTCAATAGACACGAGGCTTGAAATTTAAGTATATTGACTCTATCTATCCCAGTGAACTTGGGAAAAAAGACACAACATGCCACATCTGTTTCATATTTGGATGTATACTGATTAAGAACAACAAAGGCAAACTAGCGACTAAACTGTGGGACAAACGAGACAACTTCAGCTTTTCCATCGTCAACATCCCTTTTTATGTAGTAATATCCTATTATTGCCTGCAAATAGTGTTTATATCTCCCACTTTATTCGATACTCAAGAGCTTGCTCCGAGTACGATCAATTTTTAAACCGAGGCAGGCAATTGACAGATAAGTTGATGTCACAGGTATTTCAACGACCTCGTTATAGTCGGCATTTCGTAAATTTTATGGTCGTTATAATGACCTTGTTAGCAAATATAATCTGTCACTGGGTTGTATGTTGGCTGACGTGTTTCCTACCAATTGTTAGGCCTTTGTTTTTACTACTGAATTTAACTACGGAATGTTCCGTCTACCTGATCTACACATAGGGCTCACTGGTCAACAGGGGATGCTTACTTTTCATAGACACCTCGTCCCACCTCTGGAATTTCCAGGAGTCTGTTTTATGCCCTTTTCACATTCTGCATTATTTGTAGATTTTTATATGATCGATCACTGTTCATTATCTTCGCCTTGTCATTCAAATCAAAGTGTATCGAATAAGCTGGGAGATGTAAACACCATATGGAGGTGACAGTGGGAAATTGCTACATGAAATATGGAGACAACGAACAGTATTCAAGCTCAAAGTCCATTAAAACAAAACAAATCGGGAGGAGAGCAAACACGGTCCTCCAAAAACATCAGAGGTGGGATCAGGTGTCATAGAGGAGTGAGCATCCCCTGCCGACCGGTCACACCCGCCGTGTGCTCCTTGTCATGATCGGTGAATAAGGAAAGTTAGCGATAGAAAAGCTGAAGTCATCTCTTTTGTCGTACAATTTAGTTGTTAGTTTGCCTTTACCGTCTATAGTCAGTAAAATATCCAAGTATGAAACTGATGTGGTAGACTCTATAGTGTCCTTCGTTCTCAAGTTCACTGGGATGAAATATATGGAGATAACGAACAGTATTCAAGCTCAAAAGTCCATTAAACAATACAAAATAGGAGCAGAGCAAACACGGACCTCTAAACATCAGAGGTGGGATCAGGTGCCATGGAGGAGTGAGCATCCCCTGCCGACCGATCACACCCGCCGTGTGCTCCTTGTCATGATCGGGATATAACGGAAAAATCCGTCGACAATTCAGTGTGTAAATAATGGCCTAACAATTAGTATGAAAAACATCAGTCAGCATTTGACTCAATGATAAATTGTATTTGCTGACAAGGTCATTGTATCGACCATAGAACTTACGAAATGATGACTTTAAACGAGACAGCTGATATTCTTGTTTCATCAACTTGTTTGTCAATAATTTACCTCGTTTTAGAAATTGTTCATACGTAGAGCATGCTCTTGCGTATCGAATCAACTGAGAGATATATACCCCGTATGCAGGTGATGAAGGTATATTGCTGCATAAGTAAGGGAAGTTGACGATTGAAAAGTTAAAGTCATCACGTTTATCATAAAGCTTGGTTGTTAGATTACCATTAACGTCTTTTTCAAGTAAAATATCCAAATATGAAACAGATGTGTCAGACTCTGTGGTATTTTTTATCTCAAGCTCACCAGGATATATCGTATCGACATAAGAATGAAAATAGCCATTGTTAATTGACAATACATCGTCGA